CTAAATTGGAATATCATGGTATCAGAGGTGTTGAGCTAAACCTTTTTCGCCAGTATTTGACCAACCGCTCGCAGAGAGTTTGTTACAAAAATAGTCTCTCTGATGCAGAGGTGATGAAAAGTGGTGTACCCCAGGGGTTGGTCCTTGGCCCTTTCCTGTTCTTGGTTTTGATTAATGACTTACCATCCTATGTTCCTACTAAGTCAATAATTTTTGCTGACGACTCAACTTTTTTTGTAATGATGTCAACATTGAAACTATTAAGGGTCAGATGGAAAATTGCATTTCTGAATGTAATATATGGTTTAAAAGTAATGGTTTGTTGTTAAATAGTAGCAAAACCCAGTCTATTTTGTTTAGCTTAAGAAACAGGAATCTTAGCTTATCTTATGTGAATGAGAATGTAAAACTGTTAGGAATACATTTAGACTCAAAACTCAATTGGAATTTCCACATAAATTATGTTACAAGTAGACTATCAAGAGTAGTTCATCTTCTTCGAAAACTAAAAACTTGTATACCAAAATCCTACTTGAGAATGGCTTACATTGCTTTTTTCAATAGCATTATAAGCTATGGTATACTACTTTGGGGCTGTGGCCATGGCATGAAAAGAGCCTTGTCAAAGCAAAAGGAAGCTATTAGAATAATTACAAGTTCTAGTTACCATGCACATTGTAAACCACTTTTTGTCCGTGAAAAAATTTTAACTGTTTATAGCTTGTTTATTTTTAAGTGTTTGTTACATGTAAAAGCAAATCTAGGTTCCATAGCTTTAAGAGGTGAAACTCATGTCCATTTAACCAGGAGGAGACATTACTTAGATTTACCTCAGGCAAGGCTTGCAAAAACACAAGAATCCTTTTCTTATCTTGGTATTAATGGCCTGGCTGCTTGACAACCCGTTTTATAGTTTGGAAGAATATTATAAATGTTCCAGAATTAATTTCAGTTTTAGTAATTAATTATTGACATTGACTAGTCTTGCTCTGTTATGTTTACACCTTGTTACCTTGTTTATAGTTATATAGATGGCATTGTTGATCTTTAGATATATATATATATATTCACTCTTGTTAATTTCTAGTTATTTATCTTAGTATCTTGACGTCAACTGTACAAGTGTGCAATCTTGTTTCTTGTTGAAATAAATCTTGGTGGGTTTTCGGCTTGTAATGTAAAGTCCATAGGTACGGAGCAGATTGGAGAATACATTTTCCTCCCTAGACTGTTTTCCAGATGTATGTTTAAGTCCCCAGCCAGGGCTATTTGTTTTCCAGAACGAGAGATAAAGTTTAAACAATCATTCAGCCGTTCTATGAATTGTGGGAAATCACCATCGGGAGAGCGATAAAGCGATAATATTATTAGCCTAGTGTTCAGCAGTTCAATGGCTACAATTTCAATGGTTTTTTCTATACAAAAGTTGTTTACACAGATTTCCTTAAAACTAATATTTCTATTTACAATAGAATTCTATTTACAATGTAGAAAATTTCATCGCAAAAAGGATTAACAAAAGACTACATTGTTATCTTTACCCGTTTTGAAGTTATAGCCAATTTTCCAAGAGACTGTAAATTTATCTAAAAAGGGGGGGGGGGTGAGAGGAAAGCTCAAGGGGGAGGAGTGGGGACTTTTGGGAAAATACTCCTCTCAACATGGTCTAACAGCATAGAAAAATCCAGCTTTACCAAAATTAGTTCCGACAATTGCCTTATTTTTACCTTTATTGGCTGGGCTAGTAGTAGCTTTATGTAAACAAAAAGTAGGTTTTTATATAACAAAATTGATTTTTTTTTCTAAAAAAATTTAATTTTGTCTCGTATATTTGTAAGAAGGTAATAGTCAAGGTGGCACGTGCTATCAATGTTTTCCTTTTATAGTTTTATGTGTAGATGAAGAATATATGTCATAGCAATGCATAAGTAGTAGCTTTATGTAAAAAAGTAGGTTTTATGTAAGAAAATTGAGTTTTTATAAAAAAAAATTAATTTTGTCTTATATATTTGTAAGAAGGTACCAGTCAAGGTGGCACGTGCTATCAATGTTTTACTTGTATAGTTTTATGTGTAGATCAAGAATATATGTGATAGCAATGCATAAGTAGTAGCTTTATGTAAACAAATTGGTTTTTATATTTTAAAAATGAATTTTTTCTCAACAAATTTAAATTTTCTGATTAATTTATAAAAAGGTCCCAGTCAAAGTGGCGGCACCTGCTATCAAAGTTTTTCTTGTATGTTTTTTTATTGAGTTTTGTTTTGTATGTTGATCATAAACTTACATTATAACATTATCTATGTGGAAGCTTTTTCTCAAAGAAATCATTTTAAATTTGTAAACATCAAACATTTTGTTTGAACGTTTGAACAACATGTTTTTGGCATGTAGATTTATAAAAAGCGTTCTAATGAAAAAATGTTACATTTAAATGTTGTTCTTTTGTCCAATATCTAAAACAAAGCATATTTACTTTTGTCCGTATGTCTTACTGTTTATGCGCTATATGGACTGGAGTGCGTTCTGGCTTTGTTGGTTTTTCTTAATAGGCCATCTCCAGAAGCAAGCGACCAGGGAAGGGGCCTAGAGGATGACTTAAAACTAGTTCCATGTTTAATGTTCGACTTCGATCTAGTAATAATATATGAGCAAACAAGTTCCTATCAGCCCTTAACAAGGTATCGTTACCTGTGCTTTTCATAACTTTCTTCGTTACTGTCCGGTCTTTGAAGGTTTTTAGTTTTTGTTTGATCTGCCTGTCGTGGAACATTACAGCTGAAGATCCTGGCTCTAGTCTTTCAGTTTTAAACTTATGATAGGCCTTCTCTCCTTGCACACGTGCTTCTAGTAAGTCATGCTGTAACGCTTGACATCGCTTGTATCGCTTGTTGCTATAAAGTCAGCAAGTCATGGTAATGCAGACGCTCTGTCACGATTACCACTACAAGTCCCACATTCGATTGAAAGTAATGATTTCCAATGGCAAGGTACATATTAAAATTGTATTTATGATATCTCAGTGCCACTAACCTTTGAACACGTTAAAAACGCAAAATACCCTATGACCCTATGAAATGACCCTTTTAATGTGGGGTTACAAAGTCGTGGTTCCTAATTCTATGAAGGATTATGTTTTAAAAGAGTTACATTGTAGTCATATGGGGATCATAAAAATGAAGTCAGTGGCAAGGTCGTATATTTAATGGCCAAATATAGACCATAACATAGAAGCCTTAGCAAACAGCTGTTCTTCCTGCCTTATGAAACGTTCTAACCCAACTAAAAGTTTCTTTCATAATTGGCACTATCCATCTAAGCCTTGGGAAAGATTACATCTGGACTATTTTGGACCAATAAGAGGCAAAATGTTTTTAATTGTAGTTGATGCTCATACTAAGGAGGCTTTTGAAGTAATTTCCACTTCAGCCAAACAAGCAATTGTACATTTAAGAAATTTGTTTGCTAGATTTGGTTTGCCAGTAACTTGTCACAGTGACAATGGTCCACCATTCACATCGCTTTAGTTTAAACAATTCCTAAAGTCAAATGGAGTAATACACACATTCTCACCTCCCTATCATGCCCAATCAAACGGACAAGCCGATAATTCAGTAAGATATGCAAAACTAAATGTGCATTAAATGGCAACACTGATTTTAATGTTGCTCTAAGTTGTATATTGTTTGACTATAGAAACTCCGTGCATGCTGTAACCAATGAGACTCCAGCTATGCTGATGTTTAAACGTCCCCTAAGGACCAGGTTAGATTTGCTAAAACCTAACTTACCAAGTCATGTTGAGTGTAAACAAAACAAACAAAGAGAGAGTTCTGTACCCAAATCAGTCTGTATTAATTAGAGACTACCTCTCAAAAGATAAATGGGTAGAAGGTACTGTACATAAAAGATCAAGTAATGTTTTGTATGAAGTTAGACTAAGTTGCGGTGTTGTTTGGAAGAGACATATTGATCAATTGGTAGGTTTGCAGGGAAGTAGTAACAATGACAGGAATGCGCATCCTGAAACCGTGTGTGAGTCGGCAGTAGAACCATCAGCTGATCCCCCCAAAACTCCGTTACAGCAATCCCACTACCAGTCTAAAAATAGACACAGCGTATCCAACCGATCACCTGATGATAGTACTCCTGCTACACGTCATACTCCCTTCCCCTCCTCATCTAGCACTCCCGTGGCCCGTTCTCCACAACAATTACCCATCCCCTAACACCTGTTACTACAACAGCACTTAGATATCCCATGTTTAATAAGAAAACCAGTAGAACACCTTGATTTGTAAAAATTTCATGTGTAATTATTGAAGTTTGTTTTTGAAATTTAAAGTGTTGTTTTACTTGTTTTAAACTTTTATACTTGCTGAGATGTATATAAAAATTACACGGGAGGGATGAAGTATATTTGATGATTTTATGTATTCAATATATTTGTAAAACAGCGTTTCTTGTAGGAAACCAGATTTCTATAAAATGTATATGTGTGTTAGTGTGTGTACATCAAACCATATCACGCCTTGTCTGTGACGTCATATCAGGTGATTTTAATAAATTCCCATTGGCTACCGCGACCACGCTATACCCGTGTGTGTATCTAACCAATACTTCAGTCTGTTCTAGTCCAGCAACTGTAAGACTGTTAACTGTAAGAAAGGACCATGTGGTCCTAAGTTCGCCTCAATAAAGAAGCATTTTCATTTCATTTCATTTCATTTCATAGCAACTGTTAAACCTCTATCCCGGTCCGTACAGCCCGTGGTATTAACTAATTAATTATGTAGTTTTTATTTTCACTAGTCCCGTCTCCTGTCAAGTTAAGACGTCGTCAGTAGCGACGTTACAGTTATATTCCGTTTTGAATCGATAAAATTATTACATACTTATATATATATTTTCCTAAACCACAAGAGGTGCCACACTATTGATCGTTTTCTTTTGGAAAAGTTTATTTTTAAGTGACATACTAATACTGTAACATTACTTACTGCTTGTCCGTAGGAAGGTTGTTTGGGACTAATTCAAAACCATCTGAGTCCTCTGGACTTGTACATGTGTTAAAATCTGTAACAATCAATGTCACAGATTACCTTAAATGGATCTATCTGAGTTTTCACATCTTATATGTTATTTTCCTGATTTAAAGATTACAGACATGCCAAGCTATACTAAATTATTAATAACATGTTCCTAAAAACGTTCAACCCATCATTAATATCATGCTCAGTTTAGTTGATGTTGATTTATCAGCAAAATATTTCATAGTTTTGTAAAGGACCTAAAGTAGATCAGCATATTATCATAGACTAAGCAACACAAGTAGACTCCTCATCCCTTTGTAAATTTTGAAGCTAGTTTTTCGTGTCTAGTTCATGTACGTCCACACTGATCGCTGGGGTAGACGAAATGTTGTTTCTATTATTTTTGGTTATTTTCATGATTTATGCTTTACTATTTCGTTAAATAACTAGGAGACCAGTTATTGTTTATGATTATATCGTTTTATTTGGTTAAATGAGGTTTTAAATGACTGAAATAACAAGAAAAGAATTGTAAACAAAACACAACCTCTACAGTTGGACGTACAGAACCAATAAAATTGGCTTCATGACAAATCTACTCAGGGAGTTTTTTTTTCTATTATATTATAAAAGAAAAGTATTTGTATAAAAAAAGTGTTTATTGCTAAAACGAGGGTAGTTTTTTAAGTAAGGGTCGTTTGTATGTATATCGTCTAGTGTCTGTGTACACCGCAACGAGACTCATCACCACTTACTGGCATCATTGGTGAACAGAATGATGCGGCTCATTTTGCACTCTACAGCTGATGTGTATACTTTGTTGTGTGTAGAAAACTTTTACAATTATTGAACCCCCTGCCACATGCAAGATAAGGTTAGTGATATGTTTTTGACTGCAAGAAACGTATCAGCTGCAGACATTCACCTTATGATCCTAATACAATGAAAGAGGGCAAGTGCAGAAATGGGTTAGGGGGTTTAAAATAGCCATTTACGGAAGAACTGTGTTTTGGTGGATACCCAGGATTCTCACAGAAGACCACAAAGGAAAAAGGTTTTCTCGGCCATTTTTACACTCTGTAACCCATTTCTGCACTTAACCCTTGAACCATGCCCTCGCGCCTGCACCCAGACTAACGAAAAGGAAGCGTGATCCATGCGCAGGCCCGAGGAGCGGCTCACAAAACTTTACATAACAAAATGAGAACCATGGATGGAGGCTCAAGAACAACACGCCATTTGAGAGAAACGAGCTGTAATTAACCATTTAAAAAAAAAACACAACAATAACATCAACAACAATAATTAACAATAATACATGAATTAAATACTCTCAATTAAACTTTAAAAATTTTGATACCCGTTTACCCTACTAACTTACAATTATTTCATTAATCATTTTCAAATAGGCTAAATTTCAAAAATAAATCTTACTAGCTTTTACCTTTCAAAAAACTTTAAATTAACAAATTACAACATGATATATATAATGACTCTTTTAATAAATTCATTTCATCTGGTAACTATAGAAACTTTAGGGGCCCCAAATTAGAATTCAATAGAATATTTAATAAAATTATAAAATTTAAAAAAGATCAACAAGTAGCCTAGGCTAAAGAATTTAAAATTTAAAAAGAAAAACAATTAATAAATCTCTGTGCACAAATTAACAAATAGGTAACGAAATCTCCAAGTCCAGGACGGTGGTTAGCAATAATTAATTAGGCCTAAAACTTGCGGAATTTGCGGTACTAGTTCATGTTTCTGGGCGAGCAGCACCGGAGGGGAAGCAGGCATGACGGAAGAGGGGGGCCAAGATCCAGGGGTGGCCAAGAGTTGTAATTCCCACTCCGCCAAGGCTGATGCAGACTACCGGTACTCCATGTTCCTCCTCACGGGCCCCATCAAGCGCGCTGGGCGCTCTTAATTTACTGCATAGTAGAGAATATCTTCACACAAGTAAGGAAAAGGCAAAAATACAACGCAAACATACTACAAAATTAAGATGAAAGACGATGCAAAATTTATGCCGATGCAGCGCTAACGAAAGTCTCGGAGCCTCTGAATCGTCGGCGGTGGGAGTAATAAGAACAAAACCCACAGCCTTGTTCGGGGTCGTGTAGTGAGAAACACTGAACTAGCCTACTATAAAAAAAACACTTGAACCATTGATCATGAGTCGTGACATTCGCCCGATGGAAATAGTCACGGCTCAACCTCCCTCCCCAAAAGAGGACACTCCTCTCCAAAAGGGACAAACAAACAAGCCTCTCCCCCACTTCCTGAAAAGAGAATGACCTGAAAGACAACTCAAGTGTCTGTGGTGGGGAACGCCAAGGGACTTCCAAACTGAGGGGAAAACTCACCCCCAGGGTTTGCTCTGGCCAGAGCTGGAAAATTTTGTGAGGGAAATTCCTTCGCAGAACACAGGGGACAGGAGAAGTGATCAGGTTCTCTGGCCCAGTGCACTTCCCACCCAGACACAAGAGGAAAGAAAATTGCCTACGGAAGAGTTCCGCGGAAGGGCTTGAGATGAGAAATGTGCGCCCTCCGGAAAACTTTTCCAGTCCGCGGATCTCCAAGCTCCGCCGTGACAGGCGTCAAAAACCTCAGGATGCGGTGGGGACCTGACCACCGATGACACAACTTTGCAGCTCTCTTGTCCACAGCCGAACTGGCTGGATGAGCTTTACAAAACACCAAATCCCCCACCTGGAAAGGGTTGTCTACTCTACCACGATTGTGCTTCCTCCGGACCAATTCCCTAGCTCTGATCAAGTTTCTCCTGGCCGCTTGCCAAGTTGCCTTGACATCAGCCGCACCAGGAGGTGGCAGAAGGTCGCCAATTCCCCACACATTCGCTAACGGGTTGTTAGGCGGATAGCCTAGAAACAGCTCGAAAGGGACCGCCTTGTGACTCTCATGGTGAGCAGTATTGAAAGCAAACTGAAGCCAAGGGAGTTCCTGATCCCAGGTGGTCTGCTTGTCAGCATGGAAAGCTATGAGAGCGGAGCGAAGATTGCGATTGAACCTTTCAGCATGAGAAGGCTGTGGATAGTAAGGGGAAGTAGTCACATGGCGGATTCCGTGCCCAAAGCACATTCTTTTGAACAGATGGGAAACAAACTGTGTTCCGTTGTCGGAAACAATGGTGGCGGGTATTCCAAAATGTTGGAAAAGGTGAGTTCGAAGTACCTGCACGGTGAGCTGTGCAGTGGCATTCCTTAAGGGGAAAAGCCAACAAAACTTGGAGAAGGCATCCACACAAACAAGTAGGAACTTATTTCCTGACTTGCTACGCGGGAGAGGCCCTACATAGTCAATGAAAACCTTCTCCAAAGGTCTTTCCGCCACCTCAGATGACAACAAACCAAACTTAGAGTTTTGAGCGGGCTTGCTCAGTGAGCACGTTTGACAAGAACGCACCCTAGCAGCAAGATCCCGATCCATACCCTTCCAGATGAACATTTCCCTAACCTTCGCAATGGTCTTGTGGATACCTAGATGCCCACCCACAGGAGACGAATGAAAATACTCAAAGACCATAGGGATTAGAAGACTAGGCAGCACAACTTTAGGTTTACCTCGCTGCCGAGCGCGACAGCAAAGGGCACCCTGGGACAGAAAATATGGGGGGTGGGCTCCCCCATTTTGAAGCTCACCAATGATCTTTGCCAGCTCAGGATCCTTCAGCTGATGGGGAATGAAATCAGAAAAGGCGAGTGGAAACTCCAAGAGCACGGCACAACCCGGTTGCTCTTGGTCAGAAGGATGATCGTCGGGTGAATGGTACATCCTAGATAGTGTGTCAGCAATCACATTCTGAGTGCCTCGAACGTGTTGCACTTGGAACTTAAGGGACGATATTTGGACAACCCAACGACCAATTTTCCCAAGCTGGCGTGGATGTGCAAGAAGCCACGAGAGTGCCTGGTTGTCGGTTTCCAATAAAAACTCCTTGTGCTCCAAAAAGCGTCTGAATTTATTGACTCCAAACACGACAGCCAAACACTCGAGTTCATACACCGAAGAGCTTTTCTTTTCGCAGGGACTCAAAGTGCGTGAGGCGTACGCAATTGGCTGCCTAACACCATCCACCTCTTGTGACAACACAGCCGCAATTGCGACGGAGGAAGCATCTGTTTGCAAGACAAAGTTTTGATTGAAATCCGGCATCGCCAAAACAGGGGGCTGCATGATAGCCTCCTTGAGAAGATCAAAAGACGTCTGCTGCGCTTCACCCCAGACAAACTTGGCGCCCTTCTTCCGAAGCTCATTGAGAGGAGCCGCCAATTCAGCAACATTGGGTATGAAGCGTCGGTAAAAACCTACCATGCCGATGAACCTAGCAATACCCTTGACATCTCTGGGAGGAGGAAACTCCCTGATAGCCTGGGTTCTAGCGGGGTCGATGCAGACGCCTCTATGAGAGATAAGATGACCAAGGAACGAAATTTCCGGCTTTGCAAAACTAACCTTGTCAGGATTCACGGTAAGGCCAGCCCTATTCAATCTACTCATGACTTCTTCAAGATGAATCAGGTGATCTTCGAAGCTCTCACTGTACACCAAGAGATCGTCGAGGTAATTGAACACAAACTTGAACTTGACATCATGAAAGATGGAATCAAGGAGTCTGGTGAGAGTCTGGGCCCCCACAGCAAGACCCATCGGAACTCTTGTGAACTGATACAAATTCCACGGAACGCAGAAAGCAGTGAGAGGTCGAGACTCAGGTTTCAAAGGAATCTGATGATAGGCCTGATTCAGATCAAAAACAGAAAAATACTTGGCCTTACCGAACCAATCAAACGCAGAATGCAAATCGGGGAGAGGCACAGAGTCGATTTCAATTTGCGCATTCAATTTGCGATAGTCCAAAACCATTCGGGACTTGCCATTGGGTTTTGGGACGAGAAAGGCTGGACTAGCGTAGCTCGAACGGGAAGGTTCAATGACACCATTTTCCAGAAGTTCGTCAATGATTTTTCTGAGAGTTTCCATTTTGGGTGGAGCTAATTTGTATGGGTGAGAGCGAACGGG